TTATTACACACAATGATTTATATTCAAAAGTTTTACAAACAATATAAAGTCTTCTTTCTAGTCTGGAACTTCTTCGATACTTTATCGAGGGTTCACGATGAACGAGTTAATTACGAGTTGATGTAGGTACAATTCACTTAACAGGGAGCTAGCTAGCTTTGTCCTTTGTTATTCACCAGCCACCGTGAAGTTATATAATGTTTTCAGAAAAATACTAAGTTAAATGAGTTGTAATGTTCGAACTTTGTAAATGCTCCTGGTCAAATACCTGAAGTTTTCTGATTGATAAGCATTATAACAATTACAGTTATAGCTTCTGAAGTTTATAGCACACTGACTATAGCAAAATAATAATAGATACTCTCTCTTGGCATGGCACATTGGTTATAAAATGTCTCAAAATTTCAGTTTTACATAACAATACTGATGCTGACACAAGCATTTGCATATTCACATATTGTTAATTCTTACATTCGAGAATCTTCTACAACTTTAGAGAATAGGTGGGAATTTTGTAATACATATTTAACACTATAGGCTATGTATGTTTCTAAATATAAACTTAATCTAAACAAACTTTGATATTAAAATAAATGTATAATAAAAAATCTGTTACAATTAGTAAGTGTATGTTAACAAAATTTGTCAATTATCAGTAAACATTACAAGGCTTTCATACACAAAATATCAGATTTTTTTATTAAATCTTAAAATTTTTTAAGCAATATTTTTCTCATACCTTTTTGCATGTTGCCTATCCAACATGCAAAGTAATTTTCATTATACTAGAGATTCTACTAATACAATTTGAGATTTCTGAGACAAAGAAAGGTATTTTTAATCTTAACATGGAAATCACTTAGCACTCAGACTAGTATATAGAAATACTTCATTAAAAAGAATTGATTTTTTTTGTGTACAAAAGACTTGTAATGTTTACTAAAAAGTCTGCCAAATTTTGTGAAGATACACATACTTTATGAAGAGTTATAGTATGGAAACTATAACGACTACAAAGTGGTTACAAGGTTGGTCAATTTGACCAACCCCATGTTCAGTAAGTCAATTAAACTTTGTAAGTAACTTTGTGAAAGGTTGTGGCATGCACACTGACTTTGCAGTGCATATAGGATTCACAATGAAATACATTTTCGGTATCTAGATTTGAAATCAAAGTCTGACTGAAAAATCTGATTGATATGCGAGACAATTATAAAGAACAATCCCGTATTTAGCCCTTTCGCTGTTGATTACCCTTTCATTATTCTTCAAATCTGAACAGACAAACATTTCAACCATACATCACAATAACCATGGAACATATTTAAATATAAGTTTGGCTATTTTTTGTCAAGTTATGAATTATAATGAAAAAATACCACTACATAACATAACTATAAAGTGTAGAATACCTATAACTGCTAGCCTACAAGCTATGTTTCTTACATGATCAACCTATAGGTTGCACATAATCTGTTACTTGAGATTCATTAATATCATCTTTCATTATTACACAGAATGATTAATTGTCCAATAAAAAGACACACTTTCAACATTTAGATAAGTTTTCTATCTTTGCACACTACTGTTATTTGTTTTTTGTTACCTATTTTATTCTAAGAAACATATGCAAGAAATTAGCATAGGCCTTATCATGCACAAAGAAAGACAGAGATTTTTGACAGAGTACATGTAGTCATTACTAGTGATACATCGTGTTAGCCCATTTTATTCAAAGAAATGGTGCAATAAAGTATCTTCCAAAGCATTACAACTAATATAAACATATAGTATTTATATTATTCAGATTTGTTGTAAATCTACAAATTTCTGGCTTTGTCTCATCTTTTGATAAACTCTGCAAAGGCAGAAAACTTATTTCCACAACCTGAATAAAAATTACAAAAGCAAACTAAAGACTGACTGTCAAGGCTAAATATTCAATTTTTTCATTATTTCTTTTCATAACAAATATTTAAAAAAACGTAAAAGAAAGTTCAATAACATCTCAACATTTCAGTTATAATTTTATTTTAGAGAAAATTTGTGGGAATACATCACAAATATTTTGATGTTGAATATTTTCTCCAAATGCAACTCAAAATGCCCAAGCTGGAAAGGATTAAAATTGTTATATTTTATAAACTACTAGTGTTAAGGAAAACTAAATTTTACTTAAGTTTTATTCAGAAAAAATTTAATATGGTTTTAAGAAAAAAACTTAGTCTCAGTTGTCAAGTTAGATAAAAGTTATAGAACTGATAGTTTATATTAACCATGAGTATTTTTAAAATTATTTCGTATTAGTTCTGACCACATTATTCACCTAACTTTACAACAGCAAAATGTTCTTATGTAATGTATCTTCTGTAACATCTATTTTGAAATCAATGGTCTAAAGATAATCGTGAATACATTTGTTTTGCATCACAGTGCTCTTTGTAAACTTTATTATGCTTACCACATGTCGAAAGGCTTTTCAGAGTTTAAAAGTACTAATATACTACTATATTTGCCATAGTATTTTATTATTTAAAACGTAGTAATGTGTAAATGAGCATATATTGAAAATTTATTACTTAGAATTGTGATACAAATTTAACAATTATTATTTTTCTTTATTTTACATCAGGAAATCTGCATGACTCCACAACCCAGAGATGCAAAACCTGGCTGCACATATTACTTAACACTTCTGAAGGATGATATTCAGGTTAAGCAAGGTAAGCTTCATTTTTACATTGAGATCCTGACATACTTTGTTTAACCCTGTTATGACCAGAGAATACCTTTCAGTTGTTGAGTACACACCTGCATATCAAATTTCATAATTAAAGAGAAAATTGTAAATCTGTTTTATCAATATTTAAATTAGAGTTATTTTATAACATTTATTTGTGTAATTCACAAAGAAAGAATGAAAACAATGTTTCAACTTTAATTTCTGCTTAGCTCCAAAGAGCCTCACCTTTAAACAATGCATTTATCAACTTTTTCATAATTTTTCTGCCCATTTCAGAATGTAAGTTTTATATTGGCTGAAAAAAACTATTTTCCCATGAGAATATAATGATTAATGTCTTGTTTCTCATTTGATTTTTTTTCTATGTTAGTGGGTTTATTACTACAGCCCATGTTGTCACTTTTATGATTATCAGAATATGTGATCTGAACACACTTACTGATGAAACCAGGCTTTGAAAATAACTATATCCAACATTTAAATATGATTGAATTGAACCATTATAAACTATTGACATCAATTTAGACTAAATTTAGTGTTGTGAGCAGTAATTCAAGATCTCCAGAGCCTCTAGTAAACAAAGTAATTTAATGGGAAGTTTAGAATGCTTAGGAAAAATCACAAACCTGAAAGTTTTTTTATAGTTTCACTAGATGTTCTTTCATTACATAAAATTTTTTTGTGTTAAATTATACTTTTATGAAAGCTACGGAATATTTCATCTATGACAAGACATCAGATATTCTTAGTAAGATTCCACAAGTACAGTAGGTGACAACAAAATATTTTAGTGAGTCAAACCCATATTTAGTAACTATTTTTGTCGAGTGGATTGCATTTAAGCGACACAGACAAATAAAAGAACTTGTTATTATTTATTCAAAAGAAACTATATTTATTACATATAAATTGATTTTGACCAAGAAATTTGTTAGCAAAAATCACAGCCTGATAAAGTGAGGTCCTATTTTCCAATAAATCTTTGTCCATTTATACTGCAATCAGCAAAATTGAAATTGCTTTGATGTATCAAATGGAATTTTCTGATCAACAATGAATTAACTTAAAATTCTAAAATGAAAGGAAGTATTTTTAATTTTTTTATAAGTTGTGTCTACTAAGTTTTATGCAATTTGGTTAAATACTTCCACTGAGAGAAGGGGTCAAATCAGGGGGATATCGGTGATACTCCTCTGATCCAAAAAGAGTTAAAGGTTTTGCACATTTCTCCTCCCAGGAAATTATAGAATTACATTATTATTACATACAAGTTTTTATCTTGCTGTAGATTTACATTAATATTTGTGTTTAAAGGTATATTTTATCAATTTTTAATGTTGCCTTTTATCCAGAATGAAAAGTTAATGTATTATCCAACTTCTTATGTGACTCTGTATTTAATATAACTAGATACAACAAAAACAAAATAATGAAAATTTCAATAATTGAAAATCATTTTCTTACACTGATAAAGGTTTTAAATAGACAATCTGCTGGTGAATTCCATGAGGGAATAGGTTTTAATTCACTAGTTTGTGACTTCTTTTTGTCTTGTGGTTTTTCTTGTTAGTGGTTTTAAAAAAGGTTGAAATTTTTACATTTGTTAATTCCAAGGAGATGATTTCAGGTTGGTTGGTTGGTTTCATTAGTTGAATCTAAAAACTGTTTTTTTCTGTGTCTAAGCTCTTTCAAGGCTGGTCTTATGTTTTTTGATGTCAGTTGCCCTCATGGTTAGTAGCCTGTACAATCACCTAAGTACAATGACCATGTCAGTGATTGATATCCAATTGTCACAACCTTACCATAAGTACTCAGATGGCAGTTGCTTCTCAGTTCTCTTTCCTTTTCAATAAGTCTCCAGCAGTTCTAGTCAGTATGGTGTTCAATATCAATTCCATGGCCAAGTTGTTTGAATGCATAAGATGTGCTTTATCCTCTGATTTTTGAGTTCTTACCATAAAATGTCTGATAGTTTTTAAAGTGCATAATTTTTACAGGAATCTTAAGACTTGGAAATGACCCCAGATTTTTCAGATGGTTTGAGAGCTACTATGCATCATTTTTATATACTACAAGTTCTAATTTAAAGTGAACATGTATTGAAAGCTTTCCACAAATCTTTTGACTGTTGTACACACAGTTTTCTGGGAGATCTGAGATTTTACAATCATGACTGATACATTTGTTAGGAGATATCCATTAACACTGAAAATAGTTTTGATAATACAACTTTATGGGTGAGGTGACAAAGCATATTTTTACAGAATGTCATCAATTTTTCTCCCACCAGCAGACTATATTTTTGTTTAGATACATGAATAATGAATATGGTGTTTCACTTCTGATTTTGTTATTATCATTGACATCAGTTTATTCAGAATTAGTTAGTGCCAAATTAACTTTTTACCATTCATAGCCAGAAAACTATACATCTGCTGATTTTGCTAGTAATTTTCCTGTTTTCCTCTGTGTGATGATTTTAATTTTAAAAAGCCATTGAACTTTTACATCACTACACAACCTATTATAATGTTTTATCAAAATTAATTTTTTTGCAATCTACTGGAAAAATGTTATAATAGTAAACTGTGGTTAGGATTAACTTGGGGAAATGATTCGTACCATTTAAATCATTAAACAAACAATAAGTACCTTCTGTATCAGGTTTCATCACTAAAATTATTAGTAATAACTGTTTATCTTTTACAACATGACTTGCCTCAATCTTTGAGAAGACAAGTTAGAAGATCAAGGTTCTACAGTTGGTCTTTCTTGATATTTTATCTTCAGAGCCCTCAGTGGAAGTGTCTTAGACAGTAGTCTTCACCCGCTACATTTTTTTCATAGTTAACTTTCTTTTCATTGACAAATTAGCTTACTAAATTTATTTTATATACCTTTTTTATGATATTTCTGCCCTTTTCTCAATTTCACAAACTGATCCACACTTCTAAAGACATGTTTCTGTAACATTATGAATGACTCCCATATTTTAAGGTTCAACATTTGTAAGCAGCCCAACTAGGATTATTTTAGGCATATATTGAATAGTTTTCAGTTGATTCAAAAGACTTTATAGTGCAAGAATCTACTCAAGGGTCACATAAGGCTCTGTCATTATGATATAACTACTTATAGACCATCATAGTTTGGCTTTATTGCTGGAAAAGTAAATAAAATGTGTGGTGTGCTGTGGATAAAGTTCTTAAGTTTAGTAAATGATATTTTCAAATAAGTAATTAGTTATAATAACAGTAATGTTTTTAATAAATGTATTAAAACTGTTTGTATATGCAATGAAAATTAAAGATATTTTAATTGAAAATATGTAAAGATTTTTGTGTATTACTTAATGTTGTATATTAGTACTAATTTATAATTTTTTTCTAGTTTGGAATTAGTTTTTAACTTAGAGAAATGGCTTTTGATCGTAGTGTCTTTTCTCTTCATATAGCTGACTGTGTATACCTTCAGTCTGATAATACAGAAGAAGATAATTTCATGGTGAAAGGTTTACAAAAGGATAAAGGGGCAAATAAACACGCTGAAATCGAAGTTTTGTCCCAACGTCAAGTCTTGCGGCAATATGGCAAAGAAAGGTTTGATAGTGGAAGCTGGCACAATAATGGTTCAGGGATCCTGACTAGAGCATATGCAGAAAAATATGACATTTTCAGAATTGAGCGGCTTTGGAAAGATGAGAAGTGAGTAGTTCTAAAATGTAACTAGTTAATGTTAGATGTACTATGATTTTTGCTTGTAATATTTCTATACTAAAATATTTTATATTTTATTCTTGATCTGAAATTTAACTTTTCATATTTTTTCCAAAGAATTCAAATGTTAAACCAATTTGTAGAATTCACCTGTAATTGTTGATTACTAGTTACTGCTACTCTGCACAAGGCCAGATGACATGACTGTTTATGGCTATTATAAAGTAGAAGATTTACACAAAATCTTCTTGTTTGTTAACACTTTATATTACTCAGTGCTTGTTTTTGTTTCTATTAATGTAAATATAATAACACTATATTTCCAAAGTGATTCTGGAGATGTAGGTTATTATTTTATTTACATTAATTGAAATGTGTCATAATAAACTTCAGTTTCCACGGAGTTAAAAAAAAATTATTTTTTTTTTATTCAGGCTTACTATAAACATTTCTGTAGTACAAATAGTGAATGTTTTTTTAAAGATAATTTTAATAGTGCAAAACATAATAATAATCAGTGTAGTTTATTTATATTTTTTATAACTGGAATACCAATGGAATCATAATGTAAATTTTTTTTCTCGTGTTAGAAAAAACTTGCACTCCATAACTAAAAAAAAAAGATTTAATTTTCATATAAAATCAGATTTAAAACTAATAAAATCTAGTGCTTTTCACAGAATCAACTTGATATCATGTGATAGAGTAAAAATATTAAAAAAATATTTACTTTTATAAATATTAAAGAGTTCTATCATCTGTCATATATTTTGTTTGTGTTTTTTTGGTTCTTAAAAGATAAAAAGGTGAAGATTTTGGTTATTTTATGTAATTACTAATGTTTCCATGTGTTAAATCGATTGAATAATTATTTTGTTACCATAAATAAACTTAATCATACTTGCATAACTGATGAACTAGAGTGGCCTAAAATGGTTTTACTGCCAAACAATTTGCAATTTTGAGTAAAAAGTTATGGTTTTGAATTTTTTAACTGTCTCACAATCTGGAAACTATCCTGTGCTCAGTTGCCATATTAAATGCTATTGTTTTTGCACCACTTTCATAACATCATTTATATCACCAAGTCATTTTTTATTATGCTTTTGATCCTCAAAAAATAACGTATTGGTGCCTTACAAAGTTTATAAGTTCATGTAACTGTTTATATATTCTGAGATCCAGGTCCAAAACTTCAGTTTTGACTGCATGGGCTCAGGCCTAAGAGAACTATATATTTTCATAATCAATAGATTTTCCACAATATGATTCTCATTGCAGTACAAAACTTTACCCCAGCAAATATGGCTAAATTTGTGTAAGTTCAAGATCATCACTGTAAACTTATAAAAACATCTCATTTGTACAGTTGTCCAAATATTGCTGTGTATGGTTACTTTCTGACTTTATGGCAAATAAAAAACATATATCCTGATAAAATAGCACCTATGTGAGTGGTTATGGTGCTAGATTCACAATCTGTAGGTTGTGGGTTTGAATCCTTATCACCGAATGTGTTTTCCCTTTCAGCTGTAGGGGTGTTATAATGTGATTGTCAATCCCAGTATTTATTGGTAAAAGGGTAGCTTAAGAGTTGGTAGCGGGTAGTGTTGACTAGCCACCTTCACCCTAGTCTGTCACTGCTAAATTAGGAACGGCTATTCCAACTAGCCCTCGTGTAGCTTTGCACAAAATTCAAAACAAACCAAATCTATCCAAGACTTTTGTACACTTCTGACAAGACCTGCATTCAAATTTTATAAAAAAAAAGCAGTATATATATATCTGTGAAAACTGGCTACTGAAATACACGCTGGAACAACCCATTTCATTTCCATAATTTGAGGAATACATACAGCAGTATTTCATGTGTTATTGATATAACTTTATGATATGTATTGATTCCAAATTAAATTTGAAGAGAAAAAACCAAAAACACAGAATTTTTGGAATAAAAGTGAAACTTAAATCATGCAGTTTTTGCCATATTTCTATTTCAAGTACAGGTAAATAAAATATTCACATAAAAAAGTCTTTTATGCTCAGATTTAGTGTGAGATTTTGAAAGTGATATGAATAATTACATTTTAAGTGAAATGTAACATAGGTCAAAGAATTGACAGAAAAAATAATTTGATTTAAAAATTACCACAACTATATGTTTAAGATAAATTCATATCAAGTACAAAAATAGAATGATTTGGTAAACAGTACACTTTCTGTGTTGTTTAAACAATTATTACTGAAATACAGTGCTTTTTAGAAATAATAACCAACATGTGGAATTTATGCAAATTAACTGGTGTTTGTGGGGATAATTTTTTGTACTTCAATCAAAGTGGTATTGTCAGTGGTCTAAGGACTCTGAGAAAATATATTTGTTTGTTTTGTTTTTTGTTGTTATATTTTGGCCATGTAGTAATACTATACTTATATCATTTAACATGTTCTTTCCTGAACCCTCTTAATGCAGATAGGTCAGAGTGCCCATATTACTAAGGCATAGTCTAATTTTGTAGCCTTTAATCTTCTTGGTTTATGGAGATATAAACCCAAAAGTTACACCCACTTGCCACATTTTCCAGTCACATCCTCTCTTTCACAAAATGTCAGTAATTCTCTCTGATGTTTGGTCTTACATTATTTATAACCAATAAAAAGAAAATAATTTGATTTACTCATGTATAAGGTTAACTTGTTCTGATGACAGTATATGAATTAATCAGTCTAAAAATTCATTGTTACTATCACTGAGTTCACATCATCCAGTCAAGTGAATTATACCTCAGAAAACCAGTTAAATTTTACTAGTTATCAGACATTGTTTGCTTTGTGCATTTTATTATTTTGTATTTTTAATTTCAAATTTTATGTAATGCTACCATCGTCACAAAAAAGTAGGGTTATGTTTAGTTGGGGGACAAGACCAAAAACAAAAGGAAAGGCCATACATAAGTACTAAATTTCTTGTTTTGAGGTATATTTTTTTATCTATTGTTTAAAAAAGTAACTAAAATGTAAGAATTAGAAACTTATTAGGTTAGATAAGAAAACATAAGTGAAAAAAGTTAAAATTTCTCAGCAAGGTCTGCATGTGAGCTGCACATGTTTTAAGTAATTCAGTACCATAACTTGAGTTACATGTTCGCCATGTTTTTTAAAGCTTATTACATGGGTTTAGTAGTTGGACATGGTTAAAAGAGCAATAAAACATTAAAATTAGATAAAAATAGATGAAAACTGATATGAGTCTGAGGCTGTTTAGGATAAATACTTGTAATTTTTGTTACAACTTACATCCATTGTAGAAAGAAAAACAAAGATTTATTTTGTATTTTTTGTGGTGGTTAAAAGATCAGTCAAATAGACCAATGTTAGGGTAGAGAAAATAACAGATAAAATATAAAGTTTTATTGAAAAACTTTTGTTATTCATTTATGATGTTCTAGAAAAGATGAAAAAAAAGTACTTTTAATCTTAACATGAAAATTACCTTGCACTCAGACTAGTCAGAACCTGAGTCAGATTCTAACTCGATAATTCATGGTCAGGTGATTAGGGCGCTCGACTCGCAATCTGAGGATCGTGTGTTCGAATCCCTGTCCCACCAAACATGTTCGCCCTTTCAGCTGTTGGGGCAGTATAATGTGACAGTCAATCCCACTATTCCCAAGAGTTGCCGGTGGGTGGTGATGACTAGCTGCCTTTCCTCTAGCCTTACACCTAAATTAGTCCTCGTGTAGCTTTGCATGAAATTCAAAACAAACCAAGCAATAATTCACAGAAAAATCTTTAATAACCTTACTTAATTACAAAATCTGACTTTTATATACAAAACACTTTTAGTGTTTACTAAAACTTGCCAAGTTTTATAAAGTTACACTTATTGCATTAAAGTTATAATCTGTATACTTTCATGGTTACCTAATGGTTGCAAGGGCAGTCAAAATAACAGAGCCTATTTATTGAGAGTTAATTATGTAATATAAATGTATCAAGATACTATTTTGCATAACTTTGTAGTTTGTCAGACTTGGAGTAGATTTTGTTTAAATTGTTTTTGGATGAAGAATTATTTTTTCAATATCCATGCATTGAAGTTGTATATATTTTTGAATAGAACTCTAGCAAAGGTGTGAAACTGTGTTACTTGGATCAATCATTTTGATTTATGCTGGACAGAATAATTGATAAGTATTAAATTATCATTTGTCTTTAATAAGTGTTTTTTAAACAGTTTCTTCAGTGTGTTTCTCTTGTAAAGTTTCAATTAATTATAAAACAATTTAAAAAGGGGGGAGAGACAAAGCTGTTTTCCATTCATTAAGTAAGTTCCAGTTTTTCACTAATGTTACAGGGGGCAGAAGTTTGCATTTGGCCACCACTACCTCCATCCACATGAAACTTACCATGAGCCATCTCGAAAATTTTACCCTAATGAGGTAAGAAGATTCTCATTGGTTGTTTTAATAATATTAATATAATAATAGTGTAGTTTATTTGGGAGTTTATAGAGGTAAAGACTAACTGGTTATTCAGTGTGCTAACCACTTGAGTTATCTTCTCAGGTTAATAATAGTGTAGTTTATTTGGGAGTTTATAGAGGTAAAGACTAACTGGTTATTCAGTGTGCTAACCACTTGAGTTATCTTCTCAGGTTGGCAATATTATGTCCTAATTTAGTGTTACATAATATTTTCTTATTTGGTTCTTTCCTGTAATTGTTGTGCTGTAACATCAGATACTAGCCTAATACTAACTCTCAAATGGTCTTATAGTCCCTGTCCCAATGTTGTTGTTTTTTGCTACAGACATATTTCTTTTAAACACTTTTTATACTTGATGAAAAACCAGTATGTACTTTTCTTAAAATAAAGACTTGAACTATCTTGATACCAAAAGTCAGTCATGGTTCAGTTTTTAAATTTGGCACACATTTTCTACAGTGATGTGTGTGCTGATATAATTTAATTTTTTGTATGAATGATTAGGTCTTTCAAAAATGTACTTTTTAAAAGTAAATTAACACCCAGCAGTTCATATTCATTCTTTTTAAATCACAGTATGTCTGAAATTCCCAAAATTTTTACACTATGTTTTGTGATAGATAATAAAAAGCTGATAGATAAATTTCCTTTAACTGAGATATACTACAGTTCAATACTAAATGCATTATTGAAAATATTTTCCATGTAGACATTAACTTTTGTCAATTATAATGATGAATTTCTGTCATGCTATAACATTAACAGTAATGTATTACGTTCTGTTGGATACTAGAAAGTTAGAGCATTCTATAACATTAACAGTAATGAATTATGTTCTGTTGGATACTAGAAAGTTAGATCATGCTATAACATTAACAAAACTTAAATTTACATAGACACTTAACATTTGTTAAAGACAATTCATTTTATTACACAAGATTCAACAAACAATGTGTATGAAGGGGGTAAAAAGCTAAGTTTTGAATTAACTTGTTTAGTTATTTTGTGAGTTTTAGTTTATTTTTGTCTTGAAACTGACAGAAAATAATTGTTAACTCAAGGGGTAAATTATCAATCAGTAAATACACAATTATATCTTTCAACTTGGATATATGTTTGTTTATAGCATAACATTATCATAATACAATACATTTATATTGTCAAGATATTTACCCAAAATTTATATAACAAAGAAGAAAGTCTTTTGTGTTTTAAGTGAAATTAAACTTGGAATTTAGATATTTTTGATGTTCTTAAAAAGAAAATAGATTGGTGCGGAACCAAGACCGACTTAGTATTACCCTTGATGAATATATCCATGATGGGGGGATAATATTAACCCACAACCTGAGTATTTAAAACATTGTTATCAGGATACTGTATTTTCCAAACATTTTAAACACATCAATATTTGCTTTCTGTCCACACCAATGTTCTGTATTTTATTCTCTGTTTCACAAGTTTTCAAGTACATATTGCTTATTACAGTGCAGTCAGTTGTCATGTCATGTTCATTACAGTAAGAAATATCAAAAGGTTGTACATAAGTGTCTAGATGGAATAATGGTTTGTCCAAAACAGACTTTAATGTTAACTTAAAAATTGCTGTTCGTGACCAATAAAGTATGTATCAGTTTATCACTAATTATTGGATTTTTTTTTACCTTCTTTTTTTACTGATTTGTTTTAGATTTATTTCTTTCAGTTTAAGTATATTTAGTTATATTTAACTGTTTTATGTTGTAGGTCCTGCGAGTGCCATTATATGAGATAATTCCTCTAGATTCAATTCGAGGATTGTGTTGTGTTTTAGACCTAAACACATACTCTAAAGGTAGACCCAAGGGCTTCCAGTTGGAGGATGTTTATATCTGTGAATATCGAGTAGATAAGAGTGCACACTTCTTCTACAAGATTTCAAAGTCCAAGTAAGCTGTTGCACTATAAATTTTTCATAATTTTAAATCAGAATTAGGGATTCATAATTGTACAACTTTCCATCATCTCAATAGTAGCTTTCATTTTTCTTTTTCTGTAATCTTTAAAATGTTTAAATGAAAACAAACCTTTAGTAATACATAAAGACCCATAAAAAGTTTGTGTTATTGTTTTGAGAATTCATCTAAAGCTAGCTACAGACTCTATATAGGCTAGTAATATCTGAGCATGTAATTTGTATAAAAGATTTTGTAATGTAATCTTTAAAACAACTATTATTTAAGTCCTATTGATGGTTAATCCCACTCAGTAACAGATTTGAATGAACCTAATATATTCATCAGTAAATTCTCACTATTTGAAATCACAGAATGATTTATTTAATTCCACCAAAAACATGTATTGTAGTTTAGGTATACTGAATGAGTTATAATTCAAAAATCTCTGAAAATAACAATTATGTTGATAATAATCATTAGTAATGATTGACATCTATATCAATCCTTTTTTCCCCTGCCTTTTGTACAATGTTCCATGAACCTAATTAATGACAGTTTTACCATAAGATATGATCACAGACTGTATTCTTCGGCCAAGATTATAAATGCTGTGGGAGCATCCCATCTTTTTTACTACATTTTTTATGAGCCATATTGTTTTCTGCATTCTCTTGTGGTTCTCCTTTCTTCTTCATCATCAAACTCATCTTAAATTCTTTTTTTTTTACAACTATCTCGTTTTCTTAAGGATTTACTACTTTTGTAGTATGGCACATTTGTAAAACAAATATTATATTCTTAAACATTCAATGTGTTCAAGAAAAATTGTATATAACTACAATAAAGCAGAGAAAGGGGTTTTGATGCCTAAAATATTGTATTAACTTGTCAAATTTATGCTACTTTTTTAACTTTTCCATAGCTACCCAGTCAACACTAAAAATTATGCTTTCAAGACATATAGGCAGAGGCTTAATCCTAAGAAGACATATTCGGTAAGGCATTTGCTTTTCATTCTCTCTATATATATTTTCTTAATTTTAGTATTAAAGGTTACAGTCAGTTGACTCTTAAACCTAATTTATATGAGCTTTTAATCAGCTGATCTACAAAAACGTTTTAAGAAGTAGCTAATGCTGATGTTTCTTTGTAGCTTATAAAACTGGGATGTGTTTGTGTTTGCATTTATCTGGCTTTTAGGAAACTCTAAATAGCATCCTAAGTGGGAAAGAATTAAATTTAATGACTTGAACTTTCTCTGTTTTACTTTAGCCTCATACTGTTCCAACCTCTTACAAGAAACGAATGAATAGTGCTAGTAGTGTTAAAAGTGATGGAAGCAAACCTAGTGTGGATGAATCAGACAAAGGCCTTTCCTGTTCTGTGAATGAGTGTATTAGTAGTGAAAACATCATCTCTACTCCTACACTGACGGTGAGTTCTGATATATTCTTACTTACCAACAGAACTAATTAATCGTACTTGTATGATCTTCACTAGACTTCAAGATAATCTCAAACTGATGTATTCAGATTGTCTGTGATAGGCAAATATTGAAAGTATATTCACTGGTTTATCTGTTTAACCTGAAACCAGATCAAAGGTTTGTGATTCTGAATGGATAGAATTTTCAAATTATACTTTACATTAGGTGCAAAAAGTTAACAAAATATTGGGATTTTCTATTTGAATTTAGAGAAATACTTTCTCAAAGACAAGGAAGGTAGTGGTAATGGGTGCAGTTGTGCTTTTCATTATTATATAGTTTACCCAGACCATAAAGGACACTACAGTAAAATAGGTTGATAGTTATAAATCATTGGTGAAACAATAGCAATAATGGATATGGTAGTGGTTTTCATTGTTATATAGTTCACCAGACATAAAGACACTACAGTAAAATAGATTGACAGTTATAAGCCTCTGGTAACACAAGAATGGGAACCTGACATTTAAACATGCAATATCAAATTTAAATTATAAATAAAATATAGTGTAAATTAGTGTGATATCAATTTATAACTATAAATGGAGTATAATGTAAAAGAGTATGAAGTCAAGTTGAAACTATAAATTTAGTGTTAAGGAGTAAGATATGTTGCTACTTAAATTTCAGGAATGTTGACTGACAGACTTGTCCTGTGAATAAAAAAACCTGTCCAGTTCTCCTGATTTAACTTTTTCTGTCATAGAAACTGGAAATGTGTTAAAACAGTTTTCAGACATTAAATAGATTAAATTTAGAAAGTTGAAACTTTACCTGTTAACCAGATGTGCGTGGAGTCAGTACAATGGATAGATCCTGTATTGGAAAAAAGAATGTTGACTATAACTCTGAATTTACTATATGTATATACACAAGTTGTGGCATGTTTTGAGTAAAATGCACAGGTCTGTTTACACAGAAAACCAGATGTGTTACAAAAATATTTCTTTCAAGATATGTCTTTGAATTTGCTATGTCAATCTGACTCATACAAGTCGGAGTGCATAATGATGTTCATGTGAAGAATAAAAATACTTTTGTCCCTCATACAATTTGCATAACCTCTAGAACCTTCAAAATGAACATTTTCAGTTTTGTTTCAGCACTCCTGTATATCTGTATCTGGTATTTACTGTCCTATACCACAAACTGTTGCTAAATCAACAGTATAGAATAAAATGAATAGTTGATAACTGACATCAAATACATAATATCATGTGGAATCGCACCTATAAACGTTTGTGGCATGTACATATTGGCCCCATGTGGCATGTACATATTGGTTAAGTGATAGTAAAATTATTTTGTCCATTTTTCAAAATATTAACATAATTTTCAAGTAAGGACAGATATGATACATTTGGTATATAAGTATTTTAAAACTAATATATGTATAAACCATAGGTTTTATTAGTTTTCTCAAGTTCTGTGCATTTTGGTATTTTGTTTATATAAAAGTAAAACTATTACACATTCTTTTTACAAGGTTTTGTTTGTTCTGTGTTATAGTGCTTGAATTTCAGTATGTGTGTAATATGTCTTCCAGCATTTATATGGCTACTGTCGTCTATGACAATTTCTGAAAACCAACTGCTTGTTTTCTTATAATTTTGTCCATAAATTTATATCACTGATTATTTCTAGAGATTTTTGGGTGTGGAAGTTTTTGTGGAGATTCATCTTATCTTTTAAACCAGAGTTCAAACAGTAAAAACACTGATTTTCACCTAGTTATGCTTTAGGTAGAAAGGAAGCAGAGGGTGAAGATTTTTATGAAAGTTTGAAATAATGATGTAACAGCACTGATCTTTGCTTGATGACATATTAAGCATAATAATTTGTGTAATAAATAGGTAGTACTTTTTATAATCGCTTCTTCTTTGGGTTTTATCACAGCGACAAGAAAGAAAGGAGAGATTGAACAACATTCTTCTTAAGTTGCTGGCCCAACTTCCAGGAAAACAAGTGATTGACATTAGTTATCTATTACATACAAATAGAGGAGGAAATACTAGAAGGCCTCGTAAGAAGCCAGTAGCAGAAGAAACTGTCACGTGAATTTTTCTATTAAACTCTATGTTAATGCTTCTGTTTTAAGGTCATGAGAATATGTTGCTGTGGCAACATAACTACTGTTATTAGTGCAGCTTTGCACTGCCATATATTTAGCAGAGTTATGTGATTTTTTGTTGTTTTTTGTTCTGTCTTTATTTTTAAAATGATCATTCAAAATTGTATGTATATATATACATATAATCATTGTTAGAGTCTCATAAAAAAAGACCTTTGCACACTTGCTGATAAGCTTGCTATTTGAGCAGAATTAATCACATCATGCTAATGAGCACATTGTACAGTAGTAGATTAATAACATTTTGACCTTGATTTTAATTAAAAAATGAATTGGTTTTACTGTTTGGGCATATGGTAATTTTCTAGGGCATATGTGGAACTTAATGCATGAATTTTATTTATTTTATATTCTTTTTTTTTTGTTCTGTGAGTACATGAATTGTACCCAATTGTTTTCTCAAATTTTACATATTTTTAATCATGACTTACAAAAAATCTAGACTTGGAAATGTGTCTTGCAAAGTTTATTAACTTATTCTTGCATTTTAGTTTTTGCTAAAAGTAGTAATACCTTTCATTTAGGTATCATGAACCATATAAAAGAATCATTCAGAACAGAAACGTGTTAACTTATCATTCGTCAAAGGTCAGTTCCCAGTGAAGTCCTTGTAAACATTGCAACTTCATTGGTTGTTATGACCTTTAAAGCACTGTACATAAGAATGGTGGGAAGTGTTTTTAACAGCAAGGACCAATAAGATATTAAAATAATCTGTTTTCACTTCAGTTAGCAGCAAACTGAATGAGTATTTTGACATTAATCTATTTTTGTTTTAGATATCGAAGGATAATTTTTTGTCTGTTGGGATAGTAACATTATACTACATTTATTGTCATCAACATCAAGCATTATGGTTTATGTAGTGTGTTCTGTGTGAGAGTGGAATACTCAATTGTTGGCCGTAACCCGTTGTTCTGTACTTTGTATATACGTTGTAAACATTTTTGTCGCTTTGAATAAATGTTTAATACTATATGAAGTCTCTTCAGAAGACTGTCTTATAAAACTCTTCACATAATTTCAACTTAGTTACAAATCCAGAAATGGTCAAGAGGGAAACAGTGTAGTATGATGAATGAGTTTAAATAATTAGTTATTCTAAAAAGCCTAGAATGGATCCGTAGTGTGTACATTTTTATTACATATACATAGGTTTGAACCTTAATGAATTAGAGACATATATTTTGTTGTTAAATCATATGTTAAAATACAGTTTTCTGAAGCTTGGTAGTTATCTTATTTCACCACAAACAACTGAAATCATATACTATGTTATAAACTACAATTCATTAAATTAAGTTTCATAGTTTTCACATAAATCAGAAGCTTTCTGATACCTTCATTAACCACTTTCATTCTAATATGACTGTTAAGTCTTTAGTGTTTGTTCTGCTGAAACATGTGCTGGGGTTTTGATACTGGTAAACAAAATAAATTATATTACTTGCATGAATCTGTCAGACTACATAATTCATTTACCAGCATGATAACTATAAAGAATGTGGTAAAATTATTCTAAAAAATTTAAATATTAATTAGTAGTGAGAACTTTCTTGTGTCCTATTTGTTGCTATAAAGATTTTTGCTTATCTCCTAGGAATGCTTGAAGTAGGTTAAAAAATATGAGAGATTATTAACAAGTGGTTATGTCTTGTTTGTAGTAAACAAGTATAGGTGGGAAAATTACTGCAGTGAAACTGTTTAATAAATTGTTAAAATATTAACATTCATACAGACAAAATAAAAGATAATGTTTAATACTATCTTTGTTGGTGCCACATATATGTATTGTGTTTGATATTTTTAAAGATGCATAAGAATAGTAGTCATTTTGCACAATCTTTGGCCAGATGTAAGGGGAAAACTAGTTGGCCAACTAGTTGTTAACTGTCACTTTCAAGGAGATTCTGTCCATGGCCAACATTTTGTTCTCAATAATGTCTTCAGCAACAGTATTGTACTTGGAATATTTGCTTAAATGGTTTTTTTATCATTTCATTGGAAGAAGATTTCAATCTTTGAAGCATTCATTTTATTGGCCATCTTTTATTTGTTTTATTTTCTAGCTTGATGATCCATTTTTTATCAATGTAAACAACTTTGGCCTTCCACCAAGCTTCATGAGCTATACAAGCTTTTTCTGAGTAATTATACTCAATAAAGAAAAAAATACATGTAGTGTAAATAAAGTGTCTAGGTCACTATATATATACACACAGTGTGGTCACAAGTAAATAGACACCACCTTTCCAGAAAAAATGAAATTTTTCAGCCATATTCACATGAATTGATATATTTATAATTTAATTAATATCTAGTAGATCTTCCTTTCACTTCGTGGAGTTAGTTGATCCTTTGGGGCATCATGAGAATCATCTCATCAATTTTAGATTGTGGGATTTTCGCTCACTCTT